ATAAGAATCATGTGAAACCAAAGAATCAAACGAGAAAATACTACTACTGTGGCAAAACAGGTCACTTAATAAAAGACTGTTTTAAGAAAATTTTAGACATGAAGGATAGAAATAATTTTGATGGTTCTGCAGCTGTTGCCTGCAAGAATGAACCTGATATCCAGAGGGTGGTTCTTGTTAATACCACCAAAAGAGACTCAAAAGAATGGGTCCTTGACTCTGGATGCACATTTTACATGTGTCCTTCAAAGGAATGGTTCTCTGAGTTTGTTGACCTCAATGGAGGGCAAATTCAGATGGGGAATGACATGAGTTGTCAAATAGAAGGTATTGGTAAAGTTGTTGTTAGATAACAACTATATTCTTGAACTAGGAAATACAAGATATGTTCCTGAACTCAAAAGGAATCTTATTTCCTTGGGAGAATTAGATGAGAAATACAATATCAATATTCACAAAGGTCTTATAAGCCTAAATTTAGGAGAAAATAAAGTAATCTCCTCTCCTAAAATAAATGGAATTTACACTGTCCATGCTGAGCCCGTCTTAAGTCAGTGTACCACTGCCTCAAACTATGAGTTTAACAAATCCTTACTTTGGCATAAAAGAATGGGACACATTTCAGAACAGGGATTAATCATTTTAAATAAACTAAGATGTTTTTGAAAGGATAACATTGAAAAATTAGACTTTTGTGAAAACTGTTTAATTGGAAAACAGAAGAGACTAACCTTTAAAACTGGAACCCATAAATCCACTTCTATACTAGACTACTTACATGCTGACCTTTGGGGTCCAGCATCAATAAACACCCTAAGTGGATTTAGGTACTATTTTCTGATAATAGATGACTATTCAAGAAAAGTATGGACATTTCTTTTAAAACTAAAGTCTGAAACTTTTCAAAAGTTTAAGCAATGGAAATCTATGATTGAAAATCAAACAAACAAGAAAGTCAAAGCATTAAGAACTGACAATGGTCTTGAATTCTGCAATTTTGAATTTAACTCATTTTGTAAAGAGGTTGGAATTCTAAGAGATAGAACTATAACATATACCCCTCAGCAAAATGGAGTTGCTGAAAGAATGAACAGAACTCTGCTGGAAAAGGTAAGGTGTATGTTGTATAGTTCTGGACTTTTAAAAGTTTTTTGGGGGTGAGGCTTTAAACAAAGCCATCTATTGAATTAATAGAAGTCCATCTAGTGCTATTAACTTTCAAGTCCCTAAAATGTTATGGTATGGAAAAATACCTGACTATAGTAAACTCAAAGTTGTTGGCTGTGCTGCTTATTCCCATCAAAGTGAAGGCAAATTTGAGCCTAGATCCCAAAAATGTGTTTTCTTGGGATATGGAGAGGAAATTAAGGGCTATAGACTTTGGGTTAAAAACCAAAAAGATTTTAAAATAATAATAAGTAGAGATGTCATCTTTAATGAGAATGACATGCCTTGTTTAAAATCTAAAGGCTCTAAAATTTTTGAATCTGTACCAGAGAATAAAACCACCCTGGAAGTCCAACCTAAAAATGCTGTAAATCAAGATGATTCTTTTGAGGTGGAACACTCCCAATCTGAAATAAATAATAAGGAAAATGATTCTGAAAATGAATCTAAATTTTCAATAAATACTCTTGCTGATTATCAGCTAACTAGAGATAGGGAAAGAAGAACTATAATTCCCTCCACCAGATTTAATAATGAAGAGTTTGTCACTCTGTATTCTGCACTTGACTCCTTAAATTTTGAACCTACATCTTTTGATGAAGCCACTAATTCTCCTGATTCTAAGCTTTGGAAGGAAGCTATGGATGGGGAAATGGATTCTCTTATTAAAAATAAAACCTAAATTTTGGTTAACAGATATAAGAATCAAAATATTGTAGACTGTAAGTGGATTTTTAAAATTAAAGAAGGAGATTCAAACTCAGAAAATAAGAGATATAAAGTTAGATTAGTAGCTAAAGGTTTCACTCAAAAAGAAGGAGTAGACTATAATGAAATATTCTCTCCAGTAGCCAAGTATACTACAATTAGAATCTTACTGGCTTTATCTGCTCATTTTAATTGGGAATTAGATCAACTTGATGTTAACACAGCATTTCTAAATGCTGATCTTGATGAGACAATATACATGACTCAACCTTAAGGATTTGAAATTAAATCAAAATCAGAAAAGGTTTGTTTGCTGAAAAAATCTCTTTATGGGCTTAAACAAGCTCCTAGGCAATGGTATTTGATTCATTTGTGCAGACTTTAGGTTTTGTAAAAAGCTGTTATGATTCCTGTCTCTTTTATAAAGGTTCAGGTGGAGCTAAATCAGTTTACTTGTTATTATATGTGGATGATATGTTGCTTACTTGTCATGATAGAAATGAAATAGACTTCATTAAATCAAAGTTAAAGTCTGAATTTGAAATGAAGGATTTAGGACAAGCTAAAAGGATTCTTGGAATGGAAATAGATAGAGATAGAGATAAGTACATATTAGTGCTAAAACAAGAATCTTATGTGAAGAAAATTCTTGAAAAATTTTCTATGCTCGATTGTAAACCAGTTACTCTTCCTATTGCTAATCACTTTAAACTGTCTAGTGAACAATCACCTAAAACAGATGATGAATTAAAAAGAATGGAGAAAGTACCTTATGCTAACACTGTAGGTTTTATCATGTATCTCATGGTCTGTACAAGACCTGACCTAGCACATGAAATTAATGTTTTAAGTAGGTTCATGGCCAACCCAGGTGAAACTCACTGGCTTGGAATAAAATGGATGTTAAGATACTTAAAAGAGTTATCTGAATTAGGTCTAATGTATAGAAGAAGCAATGAAAAGATAACTTTGAGGGGTTACACAGATTCAGATTTTGCTGGTGACTTAGATAGAAGAAGATCCACATCCTCCTATATTTTTACTTTGTGTAATGAATGTATAAGTTGGAAGTCACAATTACAAAAATTAATTGTCTTATCATCTATAGAAGCTGCATATATTGCAGCTTGTGATGCTGTCAAAGAAAGCATCTGGTTAAGAAATTTACTAAGTGAAATTGGCTTTGCAAATAATTCTGTTAACATTTATACAGATAATCAAAGTGCAATACATCTAAGCAGGAATCCTGTATATCATGATAGAACCAAACATGTAGACATAAAATTTCACTTTGTGCGAAATATGGTCGAAAAAGGTTTGATCAAATTGGTTAAAATTCCTATAGAGTTCGATCCCTCTGATTTGGGAACTAAGGTACTGCGTCTAAACAAATTTAAATTCTGATTGAAGATTCTAAATATCACATAAAGGGGTGATAAATTTAGAACTTCAAGTATTGTTTATGATAAGGTTAACTGATTTAATTTTTTTTTTTTTTTTTGTTTTTACAGGAATGTAGAGCAAGTGAAACTAACTGATTTAGTAACAAGATTCATTAGTAAAGACCAAGATTCAACTCAGCAAGGTGGGGATTGTTAAGAAATCTGGGCTGCCTCATTAAATCTTGGGCTATTGGGCCGCATCTATGTTAAGGCCAACAATATATAAAATCAGGTTGCTGGCCCTTTTATCAAATCGTATTTTGGAAACACGATTTTAGCTTCTAAAGGGAGTGTGAATCTGCCGTCCACGTGGCTACATTCTAGTCCTTCGATTGTGACTGTTGAACTGATCAGATATATACTTGACCTTGGCACTATTCACACTCTTTGGATCTTTCTTTCAGTCTCTTCGTCTTTCTCCGTTCTCTGAGTGAAAATTAGGGTTTTGATCTCTAATATTGAAATCGATCTTTGTGATTGAAATGATTGTTCTTAGTGATAGAATCTGATTGTTTAGTACAATCGATAGATACTGATTTTGTGAGGTTCTTTCTGTTATGAAAAGAGGCGAGAGAAATACGAAGAAATATGAGATTTCTTCGCACATTTGTATTGTTTCTTGGTTGATACTAGTGGATCTTGAGCTAAATCCCTTAGTGGATGCTCAACAGGTGATTAGGTCTCACGATTGAACATCCGGGCCCTTTCGAGGCGAAAAATCTCTGCGTTCTTTCATTTTTAATTTCTGCAATTTTTACTTACGGTTACAAATTCGATCCTCAAACTTGAATGTTGAAAATAACATTAACCATTTTTAATTCTCTGTATGAAAAATATTTAGGGTCTGAATTCTATTTTTAGAAGAATAAGTTTTGTAACATTGATTTTTTGAAGAATGTGTGATTAAAAAGTAAGAAAAATTATTTGAGAATGTTAGAGAAAAAATGAGTTCATAAATAATGGATATTAAATAGAGGTTAGTATAAATATAATTAAGAGGTGGTATCCATATATAAAATTTTCAACCATGCTAGTTTGCTCAAAAATGATTGAAATGCAATATGATTGATACTCACAATAGGAGACTCATTTTTTTTTTTTTTTTATTCATGTGGGACTTATGTATATGTGAGAGGGTGTCAAGTATTGTGTCAAATTTTTTCAGGCAAAGTAGTTTAACTCTAAATTTCTTAAATAATATACTAGGCTAGATAAGGATATTGCCAACCATCATCCAAGTTGAAGTGCCTCACTCAACCATCATCCAAGTTGAAGTGCCTCAAGAGTGACCTTTCTTGGATTGAATTATATTCATAGAGGCGGCCCTCCGAGGCATAGTTCAGTGGTGCAAAGGACATGAGTGAGATTATCTCACGTCTTGCTGACAGCTGCAGTGTGGTGGTTCGATTCCTGAAACATGGAATTGGACTCTTTGTAGCGCAGTGTACAGACAGCTCTTGGTCCCTGGTCTGTTAGGGCACATCCCGCAATTTACCTCTCTCACAAAGCTCTAGAGACGAAGCGGTGAGAGCCCTCAAAGTTGGGGTTCAAACTTTTTTTTTTTTATTTTTTCATAGAGGCGGGTCCAATAATGTATGAGAGAAGTGGCGGCGGTCTGAAAACAGACAAACTCCAAAGTACGTCGTGGCTTACGTTAAAGCGCACTACTAAATTTAAAGACAATGCTTACGTTGTGGAATCGAAGGAGAAAACTTCCACTTCCCGCAGCCCTAATAATACAGTGCTGCTCTCACTTCTTGTCTTTAATCATCGTCTATATATACTAAAGAGATAAATAGTCAGCCTCCCACTGAATTTACATACTAGACGGAGATAGATATTGGGATGGGTTGGAGAGGGATATTGGGATTTGAATATGGAATAGTTCAGGCACCATTGGGACCCGATATCTCGGGTCCGGAGCTTGTGGCTGCTGTTGCTAATGCTGGTGGACTTGGTCTTCTCAGAGCCCCAGACTGGGTCAGTTCTCACTTTTCAGTTAGTTATTACTGTTTCCTTTCCTTTTTAGCTTTCCCTTTCTTGATCCCTACGATTGGGTAATTTCCTAATTGGGATAAGAAAAGACGACGACCCAATTGTTTCCCCTCTCTCTTTTTCTATATGTTTGCATAATTATCTGCTATTACATAATTTCAAGCATGTTTTTTATTTGTATAACATTTAAGTAATAACATGCTTTATCGAATTCACGTGTGTAACAGGAGGCACCAGATCATCTAAGAGAGCTGATAAGGAAGACTAGAACCTTGACTGATAAACCTTTTGGAGTGGGTGTTGTACTGGCATTTCCTCATAAGGAAAACATAAGGGCTATACTGGATGAAAAGGTTGCAGTATTGCAGCTTAGCTGGGGAGAATGCTCAGAAGATCTTGTGCTTGAGGCTCATCAAGCTGGTGTCAAAGTTGTACCTCAAGTAAGTTCTAAACCCATCCTCAAACTACACAACATGTGTTGAAAATAGTTCAAAATCCTGCATTATAGGCATTTCTGTCACTATGATAGACAAAGACTGAGGATGTACTTGTTGTCATAGTATTTGAGGATTTACGTCTTACTGAGAATCTTGTTACTTCCATATTGTTATCTTAAGGTTGGAAGCTTCGAAGAAGCAAAGAGAGCTATTGATGTGGGTGTAGATGCAATAATGGTTCAAGGGGTGGAAGCTGGAGGGCATGTAATAGGTCAGGTACAATTGCTTTTCTGTTTTCTGTTGTTCATGTAATTTTATGGAAACTATCAAATTACTCAATCTTTTCGAAGAGTTGAAAATTATTACAATTACTTCCTATTTGAAGTCACCAGAATCTGTGGTATGTTTACACCAAATAGTCTTTCCACAGTTGGCATTTTTTATACATTACATTGTCACCAAATATGAGGTGCAGAGTTTATCATATTTTTCTTGAAGTGTGTACCAAGTGAAGATAATGAGCATGAGCCTGCATTAGACTTCAATTAGCATGTGCAGTCATGACCTTTGACAGAACGAAGGCAAGTGCATGTCATCGGTGTTCATGTTTTTCCAATGTTGTGAAGACCAGACCGGATTGGCTGGTTCAACAGGGAAAAATGGGGAACTGGAACAAAATCCAGTCCAGTTATATGTTATTAACTTGATGAACAAAAATCGGTAAAAGAACCATTAAGTAGGATGGTTTAACTGTTAACCGGAATACCAGTCATGGGTTTCCTGGTTTATCAGGTTCCCTTTTCCAAAGAATCCCAAAAGTAATAGATTTTCATTTTTCCTTTTTCCCTATTGTTAATTTCTTTCAGCCTTTCTTTGTGACTAACCCCTTTTTGGTGCGTATCAATTTGAAGTTTCTTCAGAGCGAGGATGTAACGGAAAACATTTCATGGCATTAAAGGTTTCCGAAGTGTCTTTCATCAGGGTTGAATTGAGTTTCTTACAATTAAACTACTTATTAAGTTGAAAATTTTCAGGATACCTTATTCACTTTGTTGCCAAGAGTAGTTGATCTTGTCCACAATCGTGATATTCCTGTAATTGCTGCTGGGGGGATTGTTGACGGGCGTGGCTATGTAGCTGCTCTGGCCCTTGGAGCGCAGGCTGTTGCACTAGGCACAAGGTATGAGACTGCATTTCCTTTGAAGCGTTTTTTGAGTGTTTTTCCATGTGTGTATTTCACACTCAAGATTAGACACGCTATTTTAAGAATTGACCACACACGATACAGGTTCCTTGCAACCGAGGAGAGCCACGCTCACCCTATCTACAAGAGGAAATTGGTGGAACTAGATAAAACCGAGTACACAGATGTATTTGGCCGTGCCAGGTGGCCAGGAGCTCCTCAACGTGTACTAGAAACTCCTTTCTTCATGGATTGGAGGACTCTTCCGAGTCATGAAAATGAGACCAATCAACCCATCATTGGCCGTTCAAACATACATGGAATGGTGAATATATGGACTTTCCGTCAATAAATGCAACTTTTTTTTCCCATTATACAACTTCATTGGCCTGATTTGCTGCTTTCAGGAAAAAGAGATTCGTCGTTTTGCTGGCACTGTTCCAAACGTGACAACTACCGGTGACATTGAAAGCATGGCAATGTATGCCGGTCAAGGCGTTGGCCTCATCAAGGAAATTTTACCAGCAAGTGAAGTTATAAAGAGAATTGTCGAAGGTGCTCAATCTCTAATCCTACAAAAGTTCATCCCCGAGAAACTTTCGGGGGACCCCATTTAGGTGCAAAGTTTGTTTCGACGTTCGACATTTCCTTTGTGAATTGAATAATATCTATGCCACAAGAAAAAGACACTCCGGCCTTTCACATGTAAAATATCCCCATAATGTACTAATAAATTTTGTCTTAACTTCTAATTATTTCTGGTTCTTGGTTGGAAGATTTTCGGGTCCAGACCTTTCTTCCGACCACGTATACCTGCGAATTACAATTCGCAAACTTTATTTTCATCGAAAATAAGAAAGCTTTTGCAAGTGTCAACACTCGATTTTTTTGTATAAGTTCTATTTTCTTCACCGATTATTTTTCATGGATCTAAATAGTTTTGTTCGACTGTTAGATCTAGACGACATGACTAGTGGTGTTAAAATGAGCCGTTTTACAATTTTTATTTGCATTCTTAAAACTTGAAAAATATACAAAACTATACGAGTAGTTTTGAACGATGTTATATTCTAATGCTATTTGGCTTGAATTTCCGGGGATAGGGACCATCCGTTAGGCTTAGAATATGTTAATCTACTAATGTTACTTACCGCACCTACTCATGTGATTGGATCATATCAATATTCTTAAATATAAGGAAATTTGATAAGAATAATTTACGACTCATTTAAATGGATAACCAGACTTTTGGGAAAGCCTCTTATTAGGGTTATAAATGAATTGGATATGAATTGAATCTGCTCAAATTCAATCCATTCCGATCCATTAAGAAAATTATCTTATTCGATCCAGTCCGATAATTCAATGGATATTTGATTGTTAAATCCATATCCGACTCGTCGTGTTATCGGATATCCGATCCGATAACTTGATCCGAAATTGAAAAAGTTAGAAAAATAAAAATTTTAATCAACTTCTAACCCTAAAATTAAAAGGCTTAGATAGATTTTTATCCAATTCTTAGCCCACTTATTTATAGATTTTAAATTGGGAAAATTTCTTAAGTAAGAGATTAAGTATGACATATTTCAAACTTGTTACTTAAGAAAACAAGTTTTAAATTTCAAAAATCAGATTTTTATTAAAATTTATTTATGATTCAATTAATTAATTAATTAATTAAATATATTAGGTCACATATTTATACAATTTGGTCACAAATTAACAACTTAATTAGTCACTTATTATTTTTTAGTCACAAATCAAAAATTTTATGTCACAAATTATTTTACGATCACAATTCAAAAATTTTGTAGGTCACAGTTTGTTCATCGATCACAAATCAAAAAATTAATTAGTTACGGATTAATTTTTAGTCACGACTTATCAAATTATTGGTCACAACTTATTTTTCGATCACAAATCAAAAATTTATAAGTCACATATTATTTTTCGATTACGAATAAAAAAAATTATAGTTCACAGGTTACAAATATTATATGTCACAATTTATTAGACAGTCACAAATTATTAATTTTTTAGATTACACATTATTTCTTAGTCACAATTTATCTTTTTCATGATCACACTGGTCACAGATTAACTAATTTAATAGTCACAATCAACCAATTAATCTGTGACCATTACCAAACAATCACTGCCTCCAATATCACCAACGCAATCGTCACCGTTGGATCCACCACAGCTATTACCCTACAGCAACACTACTGTCTCAAACAAAATCAACACTACCACCATACACCGCCACACCATCACCCTACAGCAACACCTCCCACCACCGCCACACACTGCCGCACCACACACACACCACCGCCATACACTGTCACACCACCGCCAGACCGCCACACCAAATACGCCACCGCCAGATCCCCCACTGCCGCACATTGCCACACCACACACTACTACAGCAACACCGCCAAACCCCTACAACATCGCCACACACTGCCACACCACGACAACACCACTGCCAGACCGCTACCAACACATCCACCACCGTTAGATTTGCCACCGTCGCATACTGCCACACCACACACTCACCCCTACAACAACACTGCTACTCCACGAAAATACCACCACCAAATCGCCACACCACATGCACCACCGCTAGATCTACCACCAGCACACGCACCACCGCCAGATTCGCCGCCACCATACAACCACTACACCTCATCCACCACCACGCAAACACCTGTGTTTCTTTTGAGAATATAGAGAGCGTGTGTGAGACGAGAGAAAAATGTAGAGAGAGAGAGAGAGAGAGAGAATATTGGGAATTAATTAGGGTTTGATTGTGTAATGGAGTATTAGTAAAAATATTTATTTAAAAAAAATATTAATTAAAATAAAACATCCGATTTTTGAATGATTAAACTACCCATCTTATTTTGGAATTGTGAATTTCTAAAGTATGGAATTGTGTAGTTTCCACTTTTAAATTTTATGATATTCTAGTGAGTATCCGATGTGGGAAGTGATAAGTTGAAAATAACGAAAGCAATTCCAGTATTGGTTCCTTTGTTTGTTTAATTTATAAAATAAATTAATTATTATTTTTATCTTATTTTAATTAATAAAAAATTAAATCTCTTCATATATTTCAATTAACTACATTATACTATTATCTAATATTATTAGTTATTTGAAAATTATGTTTAAGTATAATACAAGTTTCAATATATTATGCGATAATATATAAAATATATATTATATTATTATAATAAATAAGATCGGATTGACCTATATTCATATGTGCTCCATTTAGTTCATGGATTATCGGATTCAGATCTTGATCTGATTATCGGACTGATGTCCCAAATCCATCTCCCATTAATTTCACCGAATTCGGATCAAAATCCAATTCATTGACAGTCCTACCTCTCATCAAGAAGAAAAAAAAGGAAAAAGAACAATAGCTAACTAAATCTCGGTCCAATAATTAAAAAACAAGAATAAAGCCAGTTAGACAGACTAAAAAAAGGGAATCAGAGGACAGATTAATTTGATAGAAATTAGTTGGTTTTTTTTTTTCTTTTTAATTTTTTTTAAAGTGTTCAATCTGGCTTCAACACGTGTCCACCCTATTTTTGAGCATGTCTCTATAGCCAATTGAAGTGAAAATGGCTTCGAAAAAAGAAAAAAGAAAAGAGACCGAGTCAAATATCTTATCAAATGATATTGATTATATTTCCCTTGTCTTTTAGAGAAATAAGTGGGACTATTTCTTTGTAAAATTGTGCAACTGTACAGATGGGACCTAATCATACATGTCATCCGATTACATGAATCTTCTAAATCGTCCATTCTAACAATTCATTATTTCCCTTCTAAGAGCGAAACATTCATCTCATTTTATTTATTCATTTATTTGCTCTCTTAGGCCTTAGCATAGACATTTTCACTTTCATTTCTTCCGTCTCAATGTATTTATATTGATTAAAAAATGCAGGAGTCACATAGACAAATGTTACACACCTATGTGATTAGACTAAATAATATTATCTTATTCTCAAGTATTCAGGCGTTCCTAGTTATTCTAATGAAGAGGAATGTGCTTAAACCACTTAATTGATTTTGCAAAACAGATATTTTCCCCAAACTTTGTCAACAATTATTAATACCATTTTGTGCTTGTTATTATTTGTCAATCTGTCCTCATCAACATGTAAAAATCAGTAAAGATAAATAAATTCTTTGCTCCAAATTTTCCCCAATGAAAATAAGGAAACACTTTATTTCAAAAAAAAAAAAAAATCCATCTTAATTTGGATCACAAACTTAACACTAAACATCTAAGTGATTAGATTGAATAATATTTTCTTATTCTCAAGCACTCAGGCATTCTAGTTATTCGGAGGGTTTTGTTGCACGAACAGGGCCACGTGGCCCTAGCCGTCTAGGGAGCCGAATTGAGAGGGGATGCTTGTGGATCCGGCAAGGGGACGCCAATTAGGCCCTGTACAAACAGTTTTATCGTTATTCTAATTAAGAGGAACGTGCTTAAACTACTTTATTGATTTTGAGAAAACAGATATTTTTCCCAAACTTTGCCAATAATTGTTAATACCATTTTGTGCTTGTTATTATTTATCAATCTGTCCTCATCAACATGGAAAAATCAATAAAGATAAAAATTTCTTTGCTCCATTTGTGGGACGACACTTTTTTATTAGAACCATATCATCGTGATTCATTGCATCAAAAGCATACACTAATTGAATAAAACAAAGCACAACTCAATTCTGTTTCCCAAAGAAAGTATTAAAATATTATATGATCCGATCTTTATGGTTGTCACAATTATTGACAAATAAAATATCAATTAGGTGTCGTGCAATGGAATCATGTTAATTTTGCAATTTATCGCACGCAATGGGACGCAGTCGGCATTTATACAGTTGACATTTGAGTGAAAGGCAAGTGGGAGAATCATCAGACCAAGGGCATGTGTGATTTTCATTATTTTATTTTATAGTTATTACATAATTATTTTGAATTGCACGTTCACATATTAAAAAATAGTTTAAATATTTTTTCAAATTTTTTTTTAACCACACATTCTTTTAAAAACACTATTGAAATTTCTCTCTTTTCGATTATTGAGAATCAAACAGGCGCAAAATTAATTTAGAATTCATATATTCATCTGAAATTAAATTAAAATTTTAAATCAAATTTTAATAAAGATATATATATATATATATATATATATATATATATATATATTTTTTTTTATTTATTTATTTATTTATTTAAAAGGCAACTTGAGCTGCCGGGCCGTCGAGGCAAAGTTTGCACAGGAGGTATGCTTCAAATTAGCCATTTGTGTGCCTATTTTGTACTCTTTTATCATTTAAGTTCTCCATCTCTGCTGCTGCTCTTCAAACTCAAACCTCCGAGTGTGTGAGAGTGAGACACAGAGAAAGATGGTTTCCACCTCAAGTGATAAGCCCCATGCTGTATGCATACCATATCCAGCACAGGGTCACGTAAACCCGATGCTCAAATTGGCCAAGCTTCTCCACCACCATGGATTCTACATAACCTTTGTTCACACGGAGTACAACTACAAACGCCTGCTTAAATCCCGTGGTCCTGCCGCCCTTGAGGGCCCACCGGACTTCCGGTTTGAGACTATTCCTGACGGCCTGCCGCCATCCGATGCCGACGCCACCCAAGACATACCATCACTATGTGAATCTACATCCAAAACTTGCTTGCTGCCGTTCTGCAGCCTGCTGACGAAGCTCAATAACGCCGCACCAGAAGTACCTCCGGTAACATGCATAGTGTCTGATGGCGTCATGAGCTTTACTGTCAAGGCGGCCGAGCAGTTTGGACTTCCCGAAGTGCTGTTCTGGACTACCAGTGCTTGTGGTTTCCTCGGTTACACGCAGTATCGGCCTCTTGTGGATAAAGGCTATACGCCTCTCGAAGGTATGTATATAACAAACTATTTCAATCTTGTGGATTTCTGAAACTAACGTCCACAGAAAATTTTGTACAGCCATTTAATCTGAAAGTTTAAAAGTTTGCCTCAGAGATGGATTTGCAAGTCGACTCCTCCCTCTCTTTCCTTTTTTCACCACCATGTTGTTGCCAATATTTAGGATAATGACATCTTCGTCTCATTCCAACGTCCAACACTTTCATCTCCAAGTTTGACTAAGACGTAACCTCCCTTTTGTTTTCGCAACATGTTCGTTCAAGTATTTGACCTATCCCGGGTATTAAATTTATTTTCACTGTCCAAAATTTTAATAGAAAAATAAATGTTTATTGTGAAAAGTCATTTGTCGGTGGTTGTTTCGTCTAGAAAGGCCGTCGAGAAATCTTTCGTGTTCCCATATCGCATTGGTATCAAATATGATTACCCAAAATTGGACTACGAGAAGGATAAGGGCGCACCATAGTCTAATCCAATAATTGCACAATAGTCCAATCCAGAAAAACTTCAAATCATGCAAAGATGCTACTTTTTGAGCAAGTGCCATATTGAAAACTTAATCAACATATAAAAATAGAAAGGGGAAGTCCCACTGTATAATCTTGGAATTGACCAGTTATCACGTGATTCAACCCGTGTGAATATTATTTTGCTAAAGTTTACCCGAATTTGCAGACATGAGCCAGGTAACAAATGGTTACTTGGAAACATCTCTTGATTGGGTTCCTGGAACGAAGGATATTCGATTGAGGGATATTCCTAGCTTCATCAGAACGACTGATTCAAATGACTTGCTGCTCAATTTTTTGATGAGTGAAGTTGAGGCTGTTCCCAAAGCCAAAGCACTCATTTTCAATACATTTGATGCTCTAGAACAAGATGTTTTGGACGCGCTCTCTGCCATGTATCCCCGCATTTACACAGTCGGGCCTCTGCAACTGATGATGAATAACATTCACGATGAAAGATACAATTCGTTGAGCTCGAGTCTGTGGAAGGAAAATTCTGAATGTATTAACTGGCTGAACACTAAAGAACCAAATTCTGTTGTGTATGTGAATTTTGGGAGCATAACTGTAGTAACTGCACAACAGCTAACTGAATTTGCATGGGGATTAGCAAATAGTAAGAAGTCATTTTTGTGGATAATTAGGCCTGATATTGTCGCCGGTGATTCAGCCATGTTACCTCCGGAATTCCTGACAGAAACAGAAGATAGAAGCATGTTAGTCAGCTGGTGCCCGCAAGAACAAGTTCTAAAGCACCCTGCAATTGGAGGTTTCTTGACACATAGTGGGTGGAATTCAACCATAGAAAGTATAGGAGGTGGTGTGCCAGTGATTTGCTGGCCTTTCTTTGCTGAGCAACAAACAAATTGTAGGTACAGTTGTGTGGAATGGGGTATGGGAATGGAAATAGACAATAATGTGAAGAGAGACGAGGTGGAAAAGCTCGTAAGAGAGCTTATGGACGGCGAGAAAAGGAAGAAAATGAAGGAGAAAACTATGGAGTGGAAGAAGAAAGCAGAGGAGGCAACTGTGCCTGGAGGATCTTCCTACATGAATGTTGAAAAACTGGTCAAGCTTCTACAATAACTTGATTTGTAACAGAAAAAGTTTATGAAAATAAGTCAGTTTTAAGTGTCAAATTTATCAATTATTACTTTCCAATGCATTAGAAGTACTTTGAATGCTTTTGAGGCTCCTGCTGCTTCTCCGGGGATGAAATTTGGAACATTTGTGTGTCCAAATTCTTCCTAATACTATAGTTCTAATAATCACCAGTGTAGCAGTTACTTTTAATTCATTGTTCAATGCGACCTACATTATTGCTGGAATCTTTTTATTGACTATCATGCAAGATTCACTTAATCGACTGTCTTTGTCTTCCAAAAATTCAGAGTTTACGAGTATTTAAAAACACTACCATTCTACACATTTCGGCACGAATATGTTGTGACTTGTACGACAACAATGATGAATAATATGTAATCAACGAAGAAAGAAAACAAACAAAGATTTACGTGATTCGGCAATTGGCCTACATTAACGATAGCAAAGTGGCTATGATTTTTATTACGTTTGAATAATAGGGCTACATCATATATACTAACTCTGGCTCATACAAGAATTTATGATTTGTACAAAACTTCAAGAAAAAATAAAAAAATATGCCTGTACCGTATTGCATTGACCTATTTATTTCAATAAACATGTAGAAGTCGTGTTCACATTAGTATTGCATTGACCTATTTATTTCAGTAAACATTGCATTGACCTATTTATTTAAGTAAATATGTAAAAGTCGTCTTCACATCTCCTGTAGCTAGTCTTGATCATGGAGGAGTCAAATCACTTGTACCATTGTCGCGAAAACTGCTTCAGCCCATAAATGAGCTCCTCAATTTACAGACCAACTGCTTCAATCCAAGCTGATTGAACCTTCTAACTGCTCCATGCAAATCTGCACTTCTAAATACGACATATAAAATTTAATTTTATATCAACTGTTCCCTAATTTTTAGCCCTTTGTCCATTGCGTTTAACTTTAACCTTTTGTATATTGAGTTTCATATGCATTTAACCTTTTGTTAATTAACTTTCCTGACTTCTCTTTAAATGCTTCGGATATTTTTATATTCTTTTAAGGGTTAGTCAACAAATAAGCATTATTTTTAAACCCCCAATATTCCCTAATTTTTTGCCCTTTGTCCATTGCATTTAACCTTTCGTAACAATTATATTAATTTTCATATGCATTTGACCTTTTGTTAATTAACTTTTTCTGACTTATCTCTTTAATTGCTTTGGAAATTTTAACATTCTCTTAAGGGTTAATTAACAAATAAGCCTTTTGTCAACGTAATCTTGTTACAGTAACAGACTCAATGACAGGTTCAGTGATCGAGAGAACACGTGTCAATGTATGATTGAACAGTTTGAAACCAAAAAAAAAAAAAAAAAAAAATTTAATCTATTAATCCAAGCTGATTGAACCTTCTAACTGCTCCATGCAAATCTGCACTTCTAAATACGACATATAAAATTTAATTTTATATCAACTGTTCCCTAATTTTTAGCCCTTTGTCCATTGCGTTTAACTTTAACCTTTTGTATATTGAGTTTCATATGCATTTAACCTTTTGTTAATTAACTTTCCTGACTTCTCTTTAAATGCTTCGGATATTTTTATATTCTTTTAAGGGTTAGTCAACAAATAAGCATTATTTTTAAACCCCCAATATTCCCTAATTTTTTGCCCTTTGTCCATTGCATTTAACCTTTCGTAACAATTATATTAATTTTCATATGCATTTGACCTTTTGTTAATTAACTTTTTCTGACTTATCTCTTTAATTGCTTTGGAAATTTTAACATTCTCTTAAGGGTTAATTAACAAATAAGCCTTTTGTCAACGTAATCTTGTTACAGTAACAGACTCAATGACAGGTTCAGTGATCGAGAGAACACGTGTCAATGTATGATTGAACAGTTTAAAACAAAAAAAAAAAAAAAAAACAACATTCAATCACTGTTTGCTACACCATCTTGTCACCGACCCTGGCCAAGTGTCATTATTCTTGCCAAAGAGATTCTAACTCATCATACTATGAAGATTGACGAGGAGCATAATTAGATCACATAAAGAATAGTATCTTATTATTACTTTCACCTGTGATGCCCTTCAAAGAATGAGACCGATTTGATTTGTTTTCCTCGAGTCTATACTGAGTCCCTCCAAAATTTTTATGTTATTTATAAAAGGTATCACTATGAAGAGTTCAATCAATAAAAAATTTAATAGAACTTATATAAGAGACCATCTCTAAGGACAATAAATTTATCACCTAGGTTTCTAAAAATCTCAGCTTGCCCATTTACTGTAAATATGTCAACGAGTCGTGCCGAAACTCGAGCTCGGCTAGAGTAAAAATGGTTTGAGCTTTTTTTGACATGAGCCGAGTTGAACTTTTGCTCGGCCAAAAACCCTAGACTCAACCAGAGCTTTCGGCTTGAGCCTAGTGAGCCAAGCCGGCTTGCTCTTTCTTTTTCTGTTTTTTTAATGATATAGTTTCCTTTTAGACAGCTAAAGGTTGCCTGTTGAGGCAGCATCCTGCCTTGTACCGTTGACAGCTAGATTTTTTATAAAAAATTTGTAGGTTTTTCTTATTTATTTTTTAGGCTCAACTCGTTACGGGTTGAAAATGGCCATGACGAGCCACACGGGCTAGACCGGGCTTGAGCCGATGCCCCAAAATGGGGCTCTTTTTGGGGTCGAGCCACGGGGCTCCCGAGCCGTTGAGCCAAATTGACACCCTTAAGTTATTGCTTTGGTATCTACGTGTTATTACCTTTTTAAAAATATAATTAAGCTTTCATAAAGTCTTTATCAAGTCATCAGTATAAAAATAGCAAAATCTTAGCTTGAAAGTTGATGCTGCCCTTTCTTTGTCATCACGCATCAAAATATGAAGAAGGAACAATTTCATGCAGCCCTTTTTTCATAAATATATACTTTGAAGGCAGTCATTTCGTTCCTGCCTTGCCCTTTCTTCCCATCGCTAGAGGTGGACAATGAGACCCGTCATGTGCTTATTGGACAACGAAGAGCACTGAGAATCTAGTGCATTACTTTTAGTTTTTGATGTCTTAGTTAACATATTCAAAAATGAAAGTTCTTCGCCTTTAATTCAGCCCCATCTGATATTTTATAGTATATCAACGATTTTTACACCAAATTAAACTGCCTATGGATCACTTATCAAACATCTTAACCCTATCTTATGTCGCTCATACATAGTTTCAGTCACAAGAAAAAATGACCCGCAAATTTCTTCAGCTTTTAAAAATTTCCGAGTCTAAAAGCCGAAAATCAATTGTCACACCAAACTATTTTTGATGACAACTCTGCCTTTGATGGAGTAGAAAAATCAATTGCAAAACGATATCTAGTTATTAACAAATTGATATTGACTACCTATATAAATTATTTACAATTATAACTACTTAATTATATTATTTCATATAAAATAATAATAAATTTACAACTTGATTGCGATAGCCACGAAAATCAAGAAGTTGACTATCATATACTATATATTTAAATCTTTTAATTAATTTTAGTGCCCCTGAAATATTCTCTTCCCCTAATATTTATTCAAAGTTAATAGCTGGCTCTTCTGACCAATTAAGCTATAACGAAAATCTTAGGTCGGAAAGAAATACGAATTCAGCAATGCATGTGAGTTGTGTGACATTCAATGTAAAAATAAAAATAAAAAATAGCATATTGATGATTAAATTATTCAATATTCAAGGTTTTGATTTATAAATATGTCCATAGGGTCTATCTGTAACTGCACCAGTCGATATACAGCATTAGAAGGAAAAGAAATCAATAGCCATGAAGCCTCATGCTGTCGTAATTCCATACCCTGCACAAGGTCACATAGCCCCAGTGCTAAAATTGGCCAAACTTCTTCATTTCCGGGGATTTTTCATCACTTTTGTCAATACAGAGTACAACCACAATCGTCTGGTTCGATCCCGGGGACCGGATTCCGTTAAGGGTCTAGAGGATTTCCAGTTCAGAACCATTCCTGATGGCCTCGCTTCCTCAGATAAAGATGCTACGCAAGATATACCTGCACTTTGTGATTCAGTTCAGACTAATTGTTTGCCTCACTTTTTGGACCTCATCAACAACCTTAATGATTCGCCCGATTGTCCGAATGTTAGTTGCATAGTTTCTGATGGAGTCATGAGTTTTACTTTGGATGCTGCTGAACAACTCGATATTCCTGAAGTTGTGTTTTTCACTACAAGTGCCTGTGGCTTCATGGCTTACTGTCACTATGCTGAACTTGTAACTAGAGGATACTTTCCACTTAAAGGTATATAATTACATCAATACCTATATTGTATTAAGATTTGCACCTTTTTTTGGGTATGTTTGGTACCCAGTACACATTGGTTTGTGTTGGCCTAATTAAAACTTTTCCACGATTCTTGCAAGGCTAATTTGAGTTTTGATTTGCAGATGAGAGCTGCATAACAAATGGCTATCTTGATACAAAGCTCGATTGGGTTTCGGGGATGAAAGATATTCGACTACGGGACTTCCCAAGTTTCATTCGAACAACTGATCCAAAAGATATTATGGTCAACTACAATATTCTGCAAACCAAGAATGCATCGAGGGCCAAGGCCGTGATAATTAATACGTGTGATGACTTAGAAAAAGAAGTTGTTGAGGCCATTCGAGAAAAATTTGAACGTGTTTGCACTATTGGTCCTCTCCAACTGCTAGAGCACCAAATAAAGAATCCCAAACTCAAATCCATTGGGTCGAGCCTGTGGAAAGAAGACGACGACTGCATTGAGTGGCTCGATATAAAACCACCAAATTCTGTTCTTTATGTCAACTTTGGCAGCATTACAGTTTTATCCGCCAAACAGCTGCTGGAATTTGCATGGGGACTTGCCAATAGCAATCAGCACTTTTTATGGATCATTAGGCCGGATTTAGTAAGTGGTGAAAGTGCGATTTTGCCAGAAGAATACTCGAGAGAAATCGAAGGGAGAGCCCTTATGGTGGAGTGGTGTAATCAAGAACAAGTTTTGGCACATCCTTCTGTTGGAGGGTTCTTGACACATTCGGGATGGAATTCGACTATAGAGTGCATATCAGAAGGGGTGCCAATGATTTGCTGGCCCTTTTTTGCTGAACAGCAAACGAATTGTCGATATGCGTGTACCGAGTGGGAGACTGGTTTGGAGATTGAGGGAGAGGTGACAAGAGAAAAAGTTGCAAAATTGGTGAAAATTTTGATGGAGGGAGAGAAAGGGAAGGAAATGGGGAAAAAGGCCTTGGAATGGAAAGAGAAGGCTCGATTGGCAGTTAAACCAGGTGGCTCTTCTTACCAGAATTTGGAGTTTTTGATTAATGAGATCCTTCTTAAGAAATAGTTGTTTGATTTTCATGTTTTTGTTCAATTTTTAGTAGTCTTGTACCGTGACTTTTGTACCCCAAATCAATCAAGGAATGATTTCTTTTTGGAAATTTTTACATAACTCAACCAATCATATTAAGGTCCCGTTTGGTACCCATTTTCTTCAAAATATATTTTTCTCTCTCTTCTTTTTAATCACATATTCTTTATTAAAATAATATTAGATGTAAATAAAAAACTTTTCATTATTTTTCAACCACACATTTTCCATCATTTTACTATTCTAAAATACATTTTTATATGAAAATGTGTTTCAAACACCCTCTAAAAACATATTTGATACTTATAAGCTGGAAAATGAGACAGTCGAGATCACGGAAGCCATTCTTGCCCATCATGTATCTTTATTTTCTTACCACACCCCATACCTGATTAAGGTGAGGCGGGATCGACCTTTATATTTTTTGCTTCTATATTTTTAATGCTTTTAGCAAGTGAAAATTATTATAAAAAAAAAAAATTCCAAATAGTATAAAAATTCATTTTTCTTTTAGAAACGATGATAATTTTATTTTTTTATGTGGAAAAAAATTTATATCTTGAAATGAATTTTAAACGAGACAGGACCATGTTCCCTGAATTCTTCTCGACCCCGTCTCCGATTAGATGGCGCACACGAATATCACGTAAAACAAGTTGTTTTGCCATCCCTACTATAAATTTTATAAAATATGCTGATAATAAGTGAGTAGTAAATTATGGGCACTACAAATTTTGTGGATAAAAGTATATTCGACGCGCCTAAATTATTACTAGATTACACCATTGCTGATTCGTAAGCTTACTTAAACTTGATTAATTTGAGTATTCAATTGTTATATCTTAGACTATATCAGGAGAGAAGGGATAATCAATTTAGCAATTAAAAATAGTGGTGTGTAATTCCAAACATTTGAACAAAAATACACAAAAGTGCGTGCACGATTCGAATTATATTACTAATCTCTCAAGACGGGTGTTCAATAATGATATTCCTGCACGCTTTTGGATCATGTGATGGGCATTATATATGTGACAAAATAATCTACCCTCTATCCCACCTCGTTACGTAACCTTATTTTTTATTTTATGTTTATGTCTGCAAATTTAAATTATATTTACAAATAAATGAGAATATTTTCATCGATCGATGGTTCATATTTACTTATTTATAATCACTTCCAAACAATGCTCCCCGTTCCAATCACGTCCCCACTCCACCTTTCAAAAATCCGTGGCAGAGAAGGCAGCCTTGCCCAGTTGCCATCTTTACTTCAAACCAAATTTTAGATGATTTAGTGAAATAGTGAATTGACAAAGCTTACGCCACATACTATATATATATATATATATAGGTTATGAGATGAGCACAAAAAAATCTTCTAGTATGAAAAGGACACTAACTTTAGCATATAGAAAATAAAAGAATATGCGAATTGCGGACTACCACTCCAAACTCCTTTTTATTTGGCGAGTTCTCAACTACTCTTCAACGTTCAAGATTTTGACCAAACAAAAGCTAATTATTTCCAAACCTGGGTGCTTATTGAAATATGTCTCAATCATTTGTTAATTTTATTAAATGCATGTGTTGATTTATTGCAATTAGCCGTTGCCATTCCTTTCTCACAAAAATGACGATAATGTTATGGGATAAATTTCTCGATTAACTATCGAAATATAGATCACCGTATAAGGATTTGAGTTATTAGAGTTTTTAAGATGAAATATCAAGTCTTAATATGTCATTAGAGCTTATTAAACTTAAATAAACAATTTAATTCAATTAAAACTTGAATGAGTACACGAATTTCAAGGTTTGCAGGCTGAAACGAGTCATCGTGTTGTAGAGACATGTTAAGGATAAGTCTCACATTGATTAATTATCAAAATATAGACAAAAATTTAAGGGCTTGAATTATTCATGTTAATAAGATTAACGTTTTTAAGATGGAATATAAAGTTTTTACCAATGAATACCTATTTATGTTAATTCACTAGAATCATTATTTAGGAGAAAAATTACGAATTGCGGACTACCACTCCAAACTCCTTTTTATTTGGCGAGTTCTCAACTACTCTTCAACGTTCAAGATTTTGACCAAACAAAAGCTAATTATTTCCAAACCTGGGTGCTTATTGAAATATGTCTCAATCATTTGTTAATTTTATTAAATGCATGTGTTGATTTATTGCAATTAGCCGTTGCCATTCCTTTCTCACAAAAATGACGATAATGTTATGGGATAAATTTCTCGATTAACTATCGAAATATAGATCACTGTATAAGGATTTGAGTTATTAGAGTTTTTAAAATGAAATATCAAGTCTTAATATGTCATTAGAGCTTATTAAACTTAAATAAACAATTTAATTCAATTAAAACTTGAATGAGTACACGAATTTCAAGGTTTGCAGGCTGAAACGAGTCATCGTGTTGTAGAGACATGTTAAGGATAAGTCTCACATTGATTAATTATCAAAATATAGACAAAAATATAAGGGCTTGAATTATTCATGTTAATAAGATTAACGTTTTTAAGATGGAATACAAAGTTTTTACCAATGAATACCTATTTATGTTAATTCACTAGAATCATCATTTAGGAGAAAAATTATGAATCCCTAGATAAATGGGGGACAATCCCTACGAAAGAGCAACAAAAGGCTTTTTTCTTTTTTTCTTTTTTTATATCAACAAAAGTTAGGATCTCGTGTTGCGCGTGTTCTTCTACCACGGCAAAACGCCAACTACCCCATATCATTGGTTGGTTGAAGTCTTTAAGACATTTTTAATTATTTATTTGCACGTGCATTGCCTCTTGATTCGTGCACGGTGTGTGAAAATCAATTTTTCTAATTAGGCTGTAAAAAGAAATTTGTATTGCATGATTGATGGAATCAAATGGACACCTTGATTCAAATAATTCTAATCTAAAGTAGTAAAAATACATTGCGAGATATGAACAAGCCTACCAAGAATACGGAGATTAAATGAGGAATTGCTCGATTTGTCATTATAGTTGCACAATCAATTTTTACTATTTAAAATTTTCCACGTCTGCTTAATCGTTATGCGGTTTATGTATGTCTAACCGTTTGAAGTTATGTTTTGTCTCCAAGGTTAAGTTACATTCTTGTCTTGAAATTTAATATTGTGCATATTTCTCTTACGGTCGTGGCAATTTAGTAAAATTTGGACAATTTCTCTCAATGGAGTAAGGTTGTAAATCATAAAGGAGGAGAATCAATTTGCTATCAGAACAATAGATAAAGAACCAACTATACAATTTTTCCTGAAGTAAAATATATTTATTTTATTATCTGCTATTTCGCTTTCACACACTTATAAATCCAACTGTGTTTCTAGAGCTGGTGAAGAAACAAGAGTTCATTGGTCGAGACCATGAGGCGAGACCATGAAGCCTCATGCTGTAGTAATCCCATACCCATAGCCCCAGTGCTAAAATTGGGTGCTAAAATTGGCCAAACTTCTTCACTACAAGGGATTCTTCATCACCTTCGTCAACACAGAGTTCAATCACAACCGCCTTGTTCGTGCCCGCGGCCCTGATGCTGTTAAGGGCCTCGAAGATTTCCAGTTCAAAACCATCCCAGATGGCCTGCCATTTTCCGACAATGATGCTACACAGGATATACCTTTACTTTCTCAGTCGATGTCGAAAAATTGTTTGGCCCCTTTTTTGGAACTCATAAGGAACCTTAATGAATCATCGAATTGTCCGAATGTTAGTTGCATAGTTTCTGATGGGGTCATGAGTTTTACTTTGGATGCTGCTGACCAGCTCAATATTCCTGAAGTGCTGTTTTACACGACAAGTGCTTGTGGGTTCATGGGGTACCTTCACTATGGCGAACTTGTTGCCAGAGGATATGTCCCTCTTAAAGGTATGATTTCTTCTTAAAATTATCTGGGCCGGTCTGTCCATGTCTTATGAACATGTTTTTCTCTAGTTTTAAGAAATATTTGATTGATTTTGACTTTTACAGATGAAAGTTGCTTGACAAATGGATATTTAGAGACTGAGATTGATTGGATTCCAGGGATGAAAGGCATTAGACTAAAGGACATTCCAACATTTATTCGAACCACTGATCCTAATGCTATAATGCTGAAATACAACATTGTTCAGCACGAAAACGCATCAAGGGCTAAGGCCATCATTTTCAATACATTTGATGAATTGGAAGATGAAGTTCTTGAGGCAATTCGAGCCAAATACGATCATGTTTACACTATAGGTCCACTCCAGTTGCTCGGAAAAGAAATTTACGAGCGAAAACTCAAATCCATTGGATCAAACCTTTGGAAAGAAGACATGGAATGTTTAACTTGGCTTGATCAGTGGGAAAACAATTCTGTTCTTTACATCAATTTTGGAAGCATCACGCCATTGTCTCCTGATCAAACAGTGGAATTTGCTTGGGGTCTTGCTAAGAGCAATCACCATTTCTTGTGGATCATTAGGCCAGATTTGATGAATGGGAAAGGATCAATTTTACCAGAAGGGTTCTTGGAGGAGACTAAAGGGAGAGGTTTAATGGTGGGGTGGTGTCCACAGGAACAAGTTCTAGCGCACCCTGCAATTGGTGGATTCTTAACACATTGTGGCTGGAATTCAACGATTGAAACTATATCAGAAGGGGTGCCAATGGTTTGCTGGCCATTTTTCGCCGAACAACAAACTAATTGTCGATACGCGTGCACGAAATGGGACATTGGAGTGGAGATTGAAGGGGATGTTAACAGATTGAAAGTGGAGAAAATGGTGAGGGTGATGATGGAGGGGGAAAAAGGGATAGAAATGAGGAAGAAGGCATTGGAATTGAAAGGGAAGGCTCAGTTGGCAGCTAAACCTGGAGGCTCTTCTTACTGCAACTTTGAGAAATTGATCCATGATACTCTTCTCAACAACCAATAGTCGAACACAGTATTGAAAGCAGAAACGAATAGTACTATCGACATCACCGAACAAAGCTCGTCTTCTTCTCGTTATTGTGCCATTAGAGTGTGGTTTTTACTTTTTTTAGTCTTGCCTTCTGCTCTTTGTTTTTCACTTTTTTCACCCCCCGTTCAATAAATCCCTTGATGTAAGCAAAAATCTGTCTTATTTTAATTTTTTGTTGTTATATTGTATAAAGTAGAATTTGAACAACGATTCTCGTGGATAGTCCACCTACCACCTTCTGTCTGGATACACGCTAGTAGTTGGTGGGTGTAAGGTGCGAAAGGAGAGATGCTGTTACAAGTACACGAAGAATCAAGAAGAAAGTTACAGAAAATACACTTGATGAGTTTTTATTGAATGATTAAAAAAAAATAAAGGGCCAACGGGGTGCTCCTATCCAAATTCTATTCAAAAAATCTGTACTTGAGGTTTAAACCGTGTGAAACTTAGTTTGGACAATTTGGTTAACAATGATCGAAAAGACACGTGTCATAATTTCATCTTGTCACAACACCCTGTCATCTCACCTCCGAGGCTGGCCAAGGAGCATTATTCTAGTTTGAATTCAAAATTTAGGTAAATGAGTAGTTATAGACATTGATTGGCTAATTGTATAATCCAAGATTTATGTGAATGTACAGCATGTGATCACAAGTAAATTTTCAAGTTTTTGTTTCTAATGATGAGATTGACCCCATTTTAAAAGTGTAATGCTATGCAGTCAAGCTGATACAAGTTACCGTTATGTGTGTCAATTAAAAGATTAGACATTTTAAATGAAACTCATATCATTTTATTTAAAATTTTTAATCGCTTAACCCCTATTTGTCTAATATTAAAGTAGGAAATTGAGTTTTAAAATAGTGAATTTTTTTAAGAAAGTGTGGTTTAAAAAGTTCTAAAAAAAATTTAATTTACGTCCAAAATATTTTATCGTTAGCTGCGCTTAGCATTTGTAGCAAGTTTGGAGGCTTATAAATTTAAAGATTCAGTCAGAATTTGGTTGTGTGACCATTTAGCAGAGGAACGAGTGCAAGTGTAGAACTCTATCCATGAATGAGAAAATTGCAATTTAGGTCCCCCTATTGAAGATAGTAGCAATCAAGTCCCCGACCTAACGTTTGATTTTTTGGGCATCCATGGTCTTTCTGCATGGAAATAATATGAAATATCAAGTTGGCATGCGGTAAAAACTTAGTTGCACTATCCTTAAGAGTCGGTAGACCTCCGTTGCAATTTTCTAAGCCATCAACGGGAGCGACTTCTTTGGCCTACAAACTGAGGCCATAAATGTGTGAGTTTTAATGACCACGATTTTATAGGATAAGAATTGTCACATCAGTGCGGAAATTGAGGGTCTATTTAAAACCATTGAATTAGGTTATTTGTACACCGGCCTATCAAGGCTTGTACAGCCTAATGTACTGTCTCCTGACAATGGGGGCCCACCTTCAAAACAAGTTGAAGAAATTTTAGTCCAAATTTGAATTCTCATTTTTTAAAATTTATTTTAATTAAGTTTATTTTTTTATCACATATTTTATAAGTCATCACTTTTATAAAATTTTCAAAAATAGTTCATCAAAATTTTTTTTTCTATTAAAAAAAACTGCTTTTCAGCTAAATTAAACGTGGGCTAAAATTATGGTTGGACAAAACTCCCGACCCAACCCAACCGAGTTGTTCTTCTTAACTTAAATACTCGAATGAGTATCTGAATCGATAACCAACGAGTTCGGTTCGATTTTTTATTCTAGATCAAGAATCGAATCTTCTTAATTTTTAAAATTTATTTATCTTAAATAAGTCAAATTATTTTATTTTTTTAAATATATTTGCTAATTAATTAATTTAGCCCAAACCCAAAAATATGATTTTCTTATTTTCAATTTTCAGTCCAAACTCAACTTAATCAAATTGACTTAAATTTTATCGAAATCTCTATTATACCGTAGTGCCATTTCTGCTGTTATTAAGAAATCGAATTAAACTCGCCTAATCCTTTCTTCAATATTGTGATCTCGCTATTTTCATTTTCCTGTGATTTTAAAAATCAAATTTATGCAAAATCCAACAAAGATATACACAAAAAGATATATAAGATTAGATTATGTTATTTTATAAGAGTTAAAATTGAACATGTCATTAGCTGAATTAATATAACTTTGTAAATATTAAAAAAATTAAATATAGTACGGAATTTGGAAATTGAACTGAACCGAACCTGAACAGTGCATAATTAAATTTAGACCCAACAGTTCTACTTACTAAATACTCCTAAATTCGGGTTTGGTTTAATTCTTTTTAAAATCGAATCGAACTAAATCATGTTTAGTCCTAGCTAAAATCGAATTTTTAGTAGATATTGATAAAATATATTATTGAAAAATTGATAAAAATTATGAATCCCGTAAAATGTAGGTTAAAATTAATTATTAACTCTAACTTAAGTTTTTATCAAACTTTTAGAATTAGGTTTTTTTTTATAGGACTAAACATCTATTTGAGCCTCATTTTTTCAAAAATTCATCTTTTAAAAATTCATTTTCAGCTAAAATTATTGAATAAAATAATTTTACAAGTAAATCAAAAACTTTTTTCATTTTTTAGCCACACATTTTTCAAAAAATATTATTCTAAAATATAGTTTTTCTCCAATAAAATAATTTGACACGTAAATCAAAATTTTTTGTTTTTTGTTTTTTAACTATATATTTTTCAAAAAAATTATTTCAAAATACATTTTTTCCTCCAAAATAAGGCTCAATCTGCAGCAAAATATATCAATATCGATGGAATATACTTTAATGGAAACCTCGCGACTGTGCACTTACTCGCTCGACCACTGACAGTTTGGATGTAGCTGGCTTTAATAGTTTTTTGCTATCCTTATTTTTTGTGGATTGCTAATAATGAGACCGTATAAAAATGATAAGGGTCTTCTTCACAGACTATCGTTATTCGAGGCTGGGAGCAAATTATTGTTCCCCAACTGTCAAACGTCAATGCTACCGACTGATGGGCATTGTTAAAAGGTTGAACCCCAACCTTAGGGGCCCCCACCGATCCTGTCTTGGACCATCGTAGATGAGGTAAATCGCAAGATGTGTAGTTTGGATGTAGCTGGCTTTAATAGTTTTTTGCTATCCTTATTTTTTGTGGATTGCTAATAATGAGACCGTATAAAAATGATAGGGGTCTTCTTCACAGACTATCGTTATTCGAGGCTGGGAGCAAATTATTGTTCCCCAACTGTCATACGTCAATGCTACCGACTGATGGGCATTGTTAAAAGGTTGAACCCCAACCTTAGGGGGCCCCACCGATCCTGTCTTGGACCATCGTGGATGAGGTAAATCGCAAGATGTGCTTGCTACATGTACAGTTGTAAACTTTTAATATATATATAAAAAAAAAAAAATCCAATCTTGAAAGCTCCTATCGCCCCTTCCTTAGAGCTTTGTGAGGGAGGTAAATAACGGGATGTGCCACAATAGACCAAGGAACAAGAGCTGTCTGTACACTGATTTTGATATATATATATATATATATATATAACACCTGATGATGTACACACAGTCTTATACCCTCTCATATGGAGGGTGACCACGAATATTATATTACATGTGGACCTCCCTCCATGTGGGGGGGAGGGAGTGTAAGCCACACGGCACAACCCTATATATAATCATTTACATCTTCTTACATGAAGGGAGTCCGCATGTAATTTATTATATGTGAATCCCCCTCCATGTAAATGAGTGTAAAGAATTATGTAAATCAAAACTGTACAAGTAAACTAATCCATTTGCACATGTGATTTTCCCCTGTACAAGTCCGTCTCCCGAGAAAATCCAATGTATTTGTAGTATAAATATGTTCAATCATGTTATGTGTATATTCTTTTTTACATTAAATTTAACATTCGTTCACATGACATTTATCAAAGTCATTGATTTATATAACACCCTATTATATTACTGTTCAAATTTTGACACAGAAAAAAATATCATGAAGGATGTAAACAACAATGTACATATAGCTTAATTCCACTCTATTAGTCCCAGTCAGGTAAAGGGATGTCAGTGATTGAAGGAGGTGGAGCTATAGAAGCCAATGGGATCATTAACTCCACTTGAATTTATGAATTTTTTTAATCACGATGCTTTAATTATTTATTTAGGGAACCGTTAATTTTATTAACAATTCTGATAGATCTATTACATTGTAAATTTATATATTTTAAAATGTTAAAAATGGTATTATATTCAAATATTATATTTCAACATTACTCTGATTGACTTCACTTTTCAATTAAGTTCTTACTTTTGAGCTCTTTGATTTATATACTTTTTCATGAAAAATATTTTTCAAAAATTGTTCATGTAATCATATTTTCCTCAAAAATAAGGAAATCATTTTTTTAGAGGTTTAGATTTTTATTTTCTAAACAATTCACTCTCCTCTCTCTTTCATCTACATAGTAATAAAAAAATAAACAAGTATAATATCTTCTAGATTAAAAATTAAACTAATCAAGTATGTTCAATTGCCTAGAACTTTGCTTTCTTTCAATAGAAATTTCATACTTACAATCAGATACACCTTTATTGAATCAACTCATTCAAAAACTATATATTCAGAAAGTTTAACCAAAAACAAGTTATCTATATAAAAAAATAAAAGAGCATATATAACGTTATCTAACATCATAAAACAACCAAAGCCAAATATATATATATATATATATATATATATATATATATTGGCAACAAATTAAGTACCTAAAAAATAATTAGGATCCGTTTGATAGCAAAAATGAAATTTGGGTAGAAAGAAAACGAATTCCAAGGAATTGAATTATTTAGAACTTATTTTACTGGGAATTGTTAATTAAATGTGTTTGACTGATATATATTTTTCACTTAAAAATGTTGAAATTTTAAATCTTTTGATATTCGTTTGGCTTTATTTTTTATGAAAATTGTCAGTTAAAGTAATAAAATTTGTTACAATTGTGAATATAATTTGTTTCCATTGTGAATATAATTTGCCTAAAAACAAAAAAATGGAAAACCCACTTCTCACCAAAACCAAATGAATTGATTTTCCGTAAAAAATTAGAAAATTGTTGAGTTGGGGGGGTAGGGGGGAGTGGTGGAATTTGGGTGCCATGATACATGCATTTTTGGTTGGAAATAAAAAATATTTTCCATTTTTCATGGAAAAACAAGGGTATGAAACATGCCCTTAAGGTTAAAGTTAATTGTGGAACATCACAGTTTGAGTAAATTTCATTAATTTCATTATTTCAGTGTGAATATAAGAAAAAGAAAACAATGATTTT